GTTCTTTAAGATCTCCACCTTTCCATCCAGCACCACATCTACCTTGTCTGGGTTAATTTCAATTTGTTCTATTTCAGCCATTTGACCACAGCAGTTAGGGAGTGGCTCAAGTCCTCTACCACATCACCAGAGGGTTTGAATAAATGGGGGGGGGGATCTAGGTGCCATGTCCAATTCCAAAGTTACAAATGATTTTGCCTAAAGGCTTTATAGAGGATGTGGAATGGGATAGAATTGCCTGATCTCATAGGATGTCGGAAGCTAAGCAGGACTGGTACTTGGATAGGAGACCACCAAGGAAGACTTTGTAGAGTAAGGCAGTGACAAGCTATCTCTGCTTACTCACTTGCTTTGAAAACCCTATGGTGTCACCATAAGTTGGCTGCAACTTCATGGTACTTTACACACATGCAAAGGCTTTACATAGAGATTGAATAACTTTGGGGATAAGATTGTGCCTAGTGGAACCCCACCAGTCAGATTCCACGCTGAAGATCACTTGTCTCCAGTGGCAACCCTTGAGCCTGATCCATGAGGAATGATTTAAACCAGTTCAAGGCACATCCCCTGATATCTACTACTGTATCAAAGGAAGCAGACCGAAGTAATCAACTAAAGTGATCAGAGCAATCTCTGTCCCATACCTGGCCCGAAACTACACTGAAAAAGGTCCAGAGCAGATAAGTTATCCAAGAAGACCTGGGGTTGGTCTGCTACTGCTCTCACAATCACTTTGCCTAGAAAGGGCAGATTAGAGATTGGGCAGGAATTGGCCACATGATTCTTGTGTAGAGATAGTTTTTAAAGTAGTGGATAGATACCCACCTCTTTGAGTGGCTGAGGGAAGGTACTCTGAGTTGGTGACTGATTTATGGTAGTATCAAGACTCATTAATGTGGTCCTTACCTGATTTTAGCAGCCAAGATGGGCAAGGGTCCAGTGCACAAGTGGTGGCCTTTACAGATGCCAGGATCCTGTCGGATTCATTACAGTAACTGGGCAAAATGGTCCATAAGGTAGACTAATTGATGTATTAGGCATTTCTTGTGCCTGGCCTATATTATTGTTGGCATCCAGATCAGAACATGTTCGTGTTATTTTATCAGCAAAAAGCTTTGCAAAGTTGCCACGGCTAATTGTCTGTTCCTGAGGCAGTAACGGTTTAGATTTAGGAGTCAGCATATGTCAAGATACCTTAAATAGTTGGGATGTTCCTGAACTAGCTGCTGTAATGGTTGCAGAAAAATAACTCTTTTGCCACTGCTTTATAGGTCTTCCAGTGGACTCCATAGCATGCCCTGTCAGATTCAGTGCTAATTTTCTACCATCTTTCAAAATATCTTCCATGCTCTTTAGGTCACCCAGCTCTGGGGTAAACCGTGGGGCTGGCTTCTGCCCCAAGGGTGGAAGAAGTTGATGGGGAGCCATCAATAGCTTTGAGGTGTTTCAGATTCCAAGCTCTTACTGCAGCCTCAACAGAGCATGTGTTTGGAAACCTCCCCTCTCCCCCTGAGGATTATGGGACCCAGAAGGATCCATAAGCCTCCACAGGTGGACCATTTTAAATGAGCCACCCCTTTTGGTGCTGTATTAATCTTTTGGTGCCATATTCACCCTTGCCTTCAGTAGATGGGGCCAAACAGTGGTACAGGCTGAATCTCCAACCCCAAAATAAGATTTGTCCTCAAAGGTTTACTGCAAAAGATTAAGTGGGGCCTCTTTCATGTGATGGGTGTGTCGTTATTTGAAAGAGGCCCAGGGCAGCCACAGAGGCTGAACTCTGGGCTGGAGCATTCAGCGTGAATTTTGAAGGCACCCCCGAATAATATAAGTATTTCTAGCACCACATCTGAGAACACTTCTGCCAACTCAGAGAGGGTGCCCTCTGGGGATCTAGACAGCTGGTAAACAAGCAGAATGCCTTGACAAGCATTCTTAGTAATTCTAAGTGTGCATCCACAAAGTACCAACAAGATTTAAGGAAAAAAGTGGTGGAAGATGGTGGATTTTAAATGTACCAGTGCTATTGGTTTGTGTTGACATGTTATTGCACACATTCCTCAGTCTATCCACTAGACAGCTCACAAACAAGCAGAATGCCTTGACAAGCATTCTTTACAACATCCTTCTCACTAGAATAAAAGGACTCACAGATCTCTGTTTCTACTCATGTCTTACAAAGGGAGCATTGGGTCTCGAAAGCTTATACATTGA